CATAATGATGGTGCAACGATGCTTTTAATTCTTTAGCAAATTTTACAGAGTATCCATTGGAACCATGGCTAGCCCATATAGCAGCTATGTGTGAATTCTAAAGAAGTGGGCAGTCCTCAGGCAGACAACCTCCCCCACCACCACCGGACACACTGCCTAATCAATGTAGTGCAAACCTGATTCCACCCCCACTCATCCTGGTTCAGTGGTCAACTTATACCACCACGTACAGTGGCTCATGACCAGGAAAAAGCCCAAAGGAAGAGTCAATAGTGGGTAGCTGTGGGGAACGGACCCAGGTCTGCATTTATAATTAGATGAAAAAACAACTGTACAGTGTGGGACAGAGGAAGCCAATTATATTACCTTGATACTCCACTTCCCTCAGTAAGTTTTCTGGGACCTCTGGAAGGGGGTGGCTCATTTCATCACTAATGTGAGGTCTTAGAGTTGGCACCAACCAGTTCTACCTCAAGTGTTCCCATCCTCAAGCCAAGGTGTGGAGCCCATAACAACCATGCCTCTTCCTCATAGGGAGCCCAACCTCTGTTCCCAACATCAGAGAAGCATCAGCATGATGCTCTCCAGTGGTGATGAGTTGAGTCTGACTACAAAATAGTCCACAGGGGCAATGAATCCTCTCTATGCTGAGCCAATCCTCATCCATCCATCTATGTGGATTCAATCCTAAGGCATTCGACTGCTAACCAGAAGGCTGGTGGTTCAAACCCACCAGCCACTCCTTGGAAGATTGGGTGATCTACTTCTGTAGTGATACCACCTCAGAAACCCAAGGAGGGGTCGCTATGAGTCAGGTCCAACTAGACGGCAGTGAGTTTGGTTTGGTTTAGGTTTCCGTGGTGACCTCATGTGTGGCAGAATCGAACTATGCTCCATAGGCCTTCAATAGCTGAGACTTCAGAAGTCAATGGCCAGACCTTTCTTCATTGTGCCTCTGGATGGACCCAAACCTGAAGCCTTTTGGTTTGCAGCTGCTCTTCTTGACAGTCTGCACCAGCAGGGACTTCCCAATGAAAACTGCGTGTTGAGTATTTACGACAGTGCCAGGGGCTGTGGTGGAGATGGTGAATCCTGTCAGTTCAGGGAGGGAGAGTTCTCGGGAGGCTGGTTGGGTTTGGCAAGGCTTCTAGAGTCAGTCAGAAGTTTCAGGGACCTGCCTCCTTCTGTCTCATCTCTAATGGGGAATAATGCCACTTACTTCCAGTGTGTGTGTCAGGAATAGTCATTTGCTGTTAGTCAAACCCTTTGGTCTCCACACTTGAAAAGCCCTCACTAAGGCAAACAGCTATTATTGTTGGGCTGAGGCCAGTGACAGGGTGACTGGGACAGAGCCAATGAATAGGAAAACACCATGTCCTAAATCATCAGTGACAGTGGGCTGGGGGAGAGGGTAAGAATGCTGTAGAAGTGGTTTCAAATCTAAGAGCTAAAACTAAAAAAGGAAAACCTTCTTGCTCTGGTGTGGTTTGCCAATGACATATAGTTGCCCAAATAGGACCCTTGAGGGAAAAACTCAAAATTTTTGAAAAAATATATTACATTTAACCAGAAATAGTTGAAAAGCAAACAGCCCCAGAAAGTACAATTATCATGTAAATATTTAGCTAAGTTTTCTTTTACTTACACTCGTTTATCTTATATTTAAGATATTATTTTATTTTTAACACAAACAGAAGCAAATCCGCTCCAGACAGTAGATGATTTAATTAAAGTAAAAAATTAAAAAAAGTAATGAAATTAGAAATTTAGAGATTAAAATTATGGACTCTAGAGTCAGACAGCAGAGCTTAGATCCTGACCATACACCCACTAAGCCCTGTGCCCTCGGTCAGTTTCTTCGTGTCTCTCAACCTCAGTTTCCCTCACCTCAAACGAATCCTTACAGGGCTACTGTGGAAGCTGTATTATGTTTATTGTGTCCAGCACAGTGCCTGGCTCCTAGTAATTACTCCAGGCCTGGCAGTAGGGATGGTAGGAGGCATGATTGAGGAAGTAATCATTACAATTATTACTTAATAATAATAATAATAAAAGAAAGGTACTGGTAAATCCACTTTGGAAAACGCTTTGGCCATATCTATCCCAGGTATGTATGTGTATATATTTATGCCCATCAGAAACACATGCATATTTCACCAGAAGACAATACCTTTTCAAAACAATACCCTTTGAAAGAGCAAGAGGTGCCTCAGAAGAAGGGCTAGTGATCTGCTTTTCTAAGGTCACAGCCTTGAGAACCCAATGGGGCACAGCTCTGCTTTGACACACTGGGGCTGTCCGTGAGCTGGGATTGACTCCACAGCAGGCAGTACAACTGGCATCAAGTGAAAAAGGGCTGGAGGAAGGCTTCGTGTCCTCCTGTGGGACAGCGATTCCCTGACACACCTTCACGTGGTTGCAGGCCATCCTAACACTTGCCTTGTCCTTTCCCCCAAAGGATGAAATCAGTGTGGGAGGAAGGAGCAAGAACTGATGGGTGGGGAGAACAGGAAGCAAGAGAAGAGGGGCCATCCTTAGTCTTATTCTTTCTTATTCTTCATCACTTTCCCAAAAAAACATTTGCTACAGGAATGCTTTTGGAAACGGATGGCGTGGTTCTACTTCAAAACAGTAAGTCTAACTTAATGAAGAAAAAAAGACATGTAGTTCAATAATATTTTATTGTCAATAGCATAAGGAAAAATCGATAGTGAACCTTCAGAGCAAGAAGAAAAAAATTGAACCTATTTACAATGAACAGCATGGGAGACACGGAGGAAGGAAGTCACACACTCTTCGGTAAGTGTGTTCTCTGGGTAGTGAATTAATGTATGAACCTGCAGCATAGCTCACTTATCAGAGCAGCTCTGCAAATGACTATTAACCGTAAGTCGCAAACTCACTATCAAAAGTAACTACGCCCATCGGCTTTGAAGAAGCGTGTCAAGACCAGTGAGCACTCGCATAGCTTTCATTTTATTTTTTCCTAAAAGGTATTAGGTGCCTTCCTTTCTCCCACTATCACATTAGGCAAGTGGACAACTCCCTTCAAAACTCATAAAATTCTTTGATTGGCTCTTGTGAGATTCCCTATACATTTTAAGTCCCTGTTGTCAGATATGCATAACCTTGTGTCTGTTAGAAGCCACTGCCACCAGTCCAGCACCAATCAAATGACCAGGGGCAGTCTATAGACAGTGAAAGTCAATGTGTCATAAGCTCTGAGCTTCCCCTTGGGAAAAAAAGCTGCCCTTCGGCTGCTCTAGTCTACAATCCCGTCTCCATTTTTCAAAGTCTGAAAAAGCTCAGAAAACAATGTGGTCTCGTCAATTGCTGGCATACTCACTCGGCAGCCAAACTTAACCCCTTGTAGGCTACTTGGATTCTTCATACATTTTGTGTGATTAGTCTACATCTTGTCGCAGAAATATTAAAGTAGTGGTTTATAGGATGGTGTCCCCGATCCTTTCAAGGGTGGTCTATAGCATATGCAACATAATATCTTTCTAAAATTAATTTAGTGTTTGAAAAACATCTGACCTCAGAGTTTAGTAGAAGGAGTTCTGTACCTTGAGCAGCCTGAACAGGAGTCCAAGTTTCATTGGACCCAGGAAAGTTCTGTGGGTCTCATGCACCACAGTTTCCTTAGTCTTCCATGGAAAGGAGGGTATATGGAACATCCTATATCCCACCTAGGGAAGGCAAAGTTCTGGGAATGTGATCCTCCAGACCCTCCTTAGAGGGATTTTCCTTATGGAAGACTATCTGAAGAACCCAAGACAGTCGCTCACCCATTCCTGCCAATAACCCTGGCTAGCTCCACAAAAAATGAATAAATATTTGCCAGCTAAGGTGATTTCTTTTCACCAAAAGCATAGGTCTTTATCTTTTATGGGGTGGAAAAAGGAAACAAAAGCAAAGAATTGGAAAAGAAGGGTCTATGAATGTGACAAGTACTGGTTGCTTCCTGATCCAACAGTACTAACCACTGATCATATTTAGAAAGTGCTTCTCTGGATGCAGAGCTTATGGGCATCTGCATCCACAGAAAAGTCAGGTGGGACTTAACTTGGCTGCACCATTTAAGGAGAGCAGAACTTGCCAAGGAAAATGATGTTTCGAGTTTTGTTGTGCCTGATGATGTAAATAAACGGGTGGTCGGCATTGAACTCATCTTTGTGTTGTAGGATGCGTGACCCCGGCACCTCAATGGAATCCCCGCCATCTTCGCTTATTTCTAAGCACACTCTGTGGATCACATTTGATATGGCCACTCCCTTGGTCTCTGACATTCCAGAGAAATCAGAAGTACTTTCATTAAAGACATTTTTCAGCCCTAGGTTTTCCAGACTAGCCTTGGGGTCAAGCATCTTTTCCACCTTAAATTTTGGAATGGAGAGTTTGACTTTGGCACTGGCCATGGTGCTGGGGTTGGTCCACTGCAACAGTGTCTCGGAGTTGAGTTGCTTTTCAACCTGAAAGACAGAAAAAGAGAAGAGATCATTATTTTTTTTATTTCTAGTTGTAAAAGATCCTGCTTGGTTACCAAACGTAGGCTTTGTAAGCCTAGTTAGAAAGCAATTAGAATGGGCCATCAAAGTTAGGGATGAGTTCCTAGCATGAGACTAGTTGCTCTTAACCACAAATCCATCAACCCTTGCTCTCCTCAGCCTGCAGCAATGCTCCCTTCGCAAGGAAATTTATGACTTGGGTGTTTGTTGCTGTTGTTGTTGTTATTGTTTTAAAGTAAAGAGTTGCCTTATAGGAATGAATGAATGGCTTATGAATGTTCCATAAGTAATTATGAAACAAACATTAAAATGTAACATTTCTGAAATGCTACCTATAATGTCTCTACTAGGAAATCCAGAATATCCATGTGTTAGGTGTGCCATCCAATTTAATCCTTCACATTAAAGCTGTAGTTACTCTCTTTTTAGTGAGAATTTGGATCATCTCTGAGGCATCCTTCACGATCCTAGGTGGGTGATGTGTTTGTTTCAATAGGTCTTAAAAATGAGAGATGTGTATTGAGGCGAAACATGATTTGGTCATAAAACTCTTTGTTGGGCAAATCAAATTGCCCCTTTCCCTCACCTTTTCCAGACCTGTCAACTCATCCTCCACATCCTTGGGCAGCAGGATGAGCATGCTAAGGTGCTTATTCTGAAAAGGAAGCTCTATGATCTTACAGTTGATATTGTCAATGTGGCCCATACAGAATGTAGACTCCATGTTCATCATCTGCACTGGTTTGGTGTCTGTCTGCAAAAGCAAAAGAAATTTGGCCTGCTTAGTTTTCAAGTTACACAAACAGGAAGTATATACATACAGATATATTATACATATAAGGGAGCTCTGGTGGCTTAGTGCATAAGGCATTTGACTGCTAAGCAAAAGACTGGTGGTTCAATCCCACCAGCCACTCCTTGGAAGGAAGATTGGGTGATCTAGTGAGAGATATCACCTCAGAAATCCAAGGAGGAGTTGCTGTGAGTCAGATCTGACTCAATGGCAATGAGTTTGGTTTTTGGTTATTATACATACGGGAAAAAGATGAAGCAGTCTACTCCTGTGAAGATTTACAGCCTTGGAAACCCTATGGGGCAGTTCTACTCCGTCCTATAGGATCACTATGAGTCAGAATCATCTTGATGGTAGTGAGTTTGGTTTATTATACATATACTATATATAATATCCTCGGAAGGAAGGTTGGGCAATCTACTTCTGTAGTGATACTGCCTTGGCAACCCAAGGAGGGGTCGCTATGAGTCGGTCCGACTGGACCGCACATAACAACAACATATAAAATATGCATATATATTTATAAAAGGAGCCCTGGTGGGGCAACAGTTAAGTGCTTAATTGTTAACTGAAACGTTGGTGGTTTGAATCCACGCAGAGGCTCCACAAGAGAAAAGATCTGGTGATCTGTTTTCCCAAAGATTACAGCCTAGAAAACCCTACAGGGCAGTTCTACTCGTTCACACGGGGTCACTATGAGTCAAAAATCAACTGGACAGCACCTAACAACAACATACACAATACGTAAACAACAGCACATATACATACATAGAAATGTGATCTTTTTATAGGATCAGGTCACTGCAACTTAACAATTCATCCAGTGGGATCCACATTGTACCGTCCCTAAACCATCATAGACTCTCCTGTGAGGAGCAGATGACTTGCACTGGAGAGTTATTCCTCTATTTTATAAACACATGCATTATGTTTTACAAGGACTACAGATAATAGAAACTTGTATTTGTACAAATGAAACATTAAAAATGAGACAGTAGGACTGATATATAAGGAAATTCTATGTTAATCTTTCTAGATGTCTATAATTATTAGACAATTTTTGTTTATTTATTTTTTAACTTTTTATTGTGTCTTAGGTGAAAGTTCACGGAGCAAATTGATCTTCTGTTCAACACTTTATATACATTTCATTTTGTGACATTGATTGGAATCCCCACAGTGTTCCATCGCTCTTCCCACTTCCTCACTGTGTTTACCTTCTTTCCTATCCCTTCCTGCCTTCTAAGCTTTATGCCCCGGCAAATGTTGCCCTTTGGATCTCCCATGGCTGGGTGTTCTAAGGAGTGCATGCCTCCCTGGTCTTACTGTTCACCTGATAGGCCTATCTATTGTTTGCCTGAAAGCTGAGCCACAGGGGTGATTACAAGATTTTTTAAACAATTTCTGGTGAAGCTGACTTGAAGATAAATTAAAATAAACCCACATATCCATTCATAGCTTTTCCTAATAGAA